TGACAAGCAAAGGCTACACCTTAGAAAAACTCTCCCTTTTTTACAGAAAGCAGCAAAACTTTTGTAAATACTGATGATTCATTAAGTGATAGGTAAATGAACAGTGCTCTCTCTTTAAAAACTCAAACAGCCTATGGACAGCACATACAAAATTAAAATACAACTTCTAGAAACTTTTATTTCTTATCTATCAGCCCAATAAGGGTAGAAAATTTACAAATCCAAGAGATCCCTCCTTTTTTGAGTTTATATTACCTGTTATATCCCTATACCTTCATCTGTGAACTAACTTACATGCTTTCTAATGCAAGTTATCCTAATTTCGTATTTATTTATTTCTTCTTTTCACCCCCACGGTATCATTTGCAAAATGTCCTAGCAACAGTTGAAGTGGCACCATAATGCCGCACTGGGTTAGATAAGACGAACGGCTTATCTCAAAGCATTCTCTGTAGCACACTGCCAAAACATTTCATACAGCAATGCACAATAACGTAATACAGGTTCCAACAACTACACTTTGTGGAGAGTTTATCATTAGGCTCTTGTGAACATTATTCTGCCTACTGTAAAAATCAACCAATTATAGTTGGCTAAAAAGTAAAATAAGTAAAAAAGACACTGGCATAAATAATCTTTTTTCTATTTCTTCATAAGTAGAAGTCAATCAAATAAGTGAGTTCAATTTTGATAACTTCTAAAAACCCTAGTATTCCTATCCACTTTTCTCCCTCTCAAAAGATTTCTTCTATGTTTCTAAGGATCAAAATTAACTTAATAGGGGAACATGATGAAAAAATGTAATGACAGTCACTTAAATGAAGTCTAAACACTTATCTATGCATAAATGACTCAGTCTTGAGGCCTCACCACAGTTAATTTTAGTTACAATAATGTATTCTTCATAAAAGATGCTATTGATTTACTACCAATAAAGCACACATAGGTTCTCTGAGATGACATCATGATTTTAACTTATCCCAGCTTTTCTTGTGACTCTGAGATTACAGGGTAGAATTAAGGGTGGCATCTATATTATGGAAGCTATATTAATAAAGCAAACTGACCTGTATGGGTTAAATATCCCCACCTCAGTCTCAACCCCTCAGGCAAATAACTCTTGAATATCTACTTGGTGCTTGATATCCTACAGCTGCTGAACAGTCATCACTATACCCAACCTCAAAAAACTAAAACTTCCACAGATAAAGCATTTCTATTTTCACTCATATAAGTCTTCAAAGGAATTTAGCTGAAGCTTATTACCAACAATTCTGTTTTTCTGGATTTTTGACTGACTTTGGAAATCCATTATCTTTCACATAGAGAGCAGATAAGACAGCTTAAATGAGAACCTTCCACTGTGCCCTCATGGCCACCACTGTAAATCATAAGGGGGAAAAAGTCAGTGGTTGGTAAGTAAAATGTCATAGTCTCCCACTGATACTTTCCATGCTCCTAGTTATGCCACACCAGTAGCTAAATCCTTGGAGCGATGCATGGAAAATCCCTCCCATAGATGCTCTGACACCATCCTAATTACCTGTGGCACCAGATACTGAACCCAGAGTTCAATTATCACTGAGAATGGGAAACTCTAAATAAATAAATACGTTACATTTAAGGGCTTAACAAATTCTGAATTCTTCAAAAACATTATCTCGATCTTCACATTTATTATTATCCCAGTTGTACAAAATAGAAACAAAGACTTGTCATTCAAAGTCATGCAGTTTTTAAGTGGCTTCGTAAGGTCAGAATTTAACCAGATTTGCCACACACCCAAACCCACGCCCTTATTTATGCAATTCTATGAAAGTAGAATTCAAACTCAGTTCTCTCTCCTTCCCTGGAGTTTTAGAAACTTTCCCACTTATTTTATACTAAAATGACAGCAATTTCTCCCATCCCCTAAACCAGTTTCCTTTCTTCTTTTTTCTTCCTCTCTCTTTTCATACACAAAAAAAGAACCTTGACTTTCTGTTCTTGTATTCAAACTTTTCTTCTCCCTCTTATAACTGTTACTGTTACTGCTGCAGGCACATTATCTCTTCAAGTCAAGAGTAAATAAACTTCTCTGCCCTTGCTGATCACTGAAAGGTCTTAGCTATTGATCTAAAAGCTAGAGGACAACTGTACATGTACAATGAGTTAGACACAGAGGCTTGCTGCTCCCCGGCCTTAGGCAGCAGTGTCTGCCGAAACAGTGCACCTGAAAAGAATACCAGAAATGAATGCAGCTGGACACAAGGTATTAAGGAAAACCTGGACTTACCTGTTTCTTCATTTATATACAGAAGTGATGAGAACCATGGTAAAATGCAAAAGCATGATACAATTTCCTATGGATTTGCTTATATAGCTTTGAAAATAATACAAACCCATTTAATGAGGTTATTGCTGATGGCATCTCACTAAAAAGCAGATTCTACAATTTATGACAGCCACTTATGCCATCATTTGGAACAACGATGACATTTGGAACACACAGCTTTACTACAGATTCTGAAGCATGCATGGAGCCTTTTCCTCAAGTAACTAAAGTTTTCTTGATGGTCTTTCCCCAACGGTGTTCATTTGCCAATATTCCCAGGATCCAGGTTCTAAAATCCAGACCGTAGAAGGAATTGCACACATACAGAACCTTGAAAATATTACAACAAATATTGTTTGGTAATGAGAAAAAATAAGTAAAAAATATGTGGCATGCACTTAGACTGAAAGAAGCAAAGATTTTTCTGTATTTGAAAAGAGACAAATAAGTCATATCCCTGAGCAAATAAATTCCTTTTCACCATAAAGTACTGAGTATGTATACATATAACTGTACAAATACACCTATATATGTGTGTATAGTCATATTCATTTTAAACATGCATTTAAATTTAAATACATATCCTCACATATATTTCCATTTAAAAAGGGAATAAGATCATTATAATCAATACTTTTTTGTAGTTTTTAAATTACTCAAATAATTCAAACAGAAAACTAAAAGTATGTCTGATAAGGCGTGAGGTCCAAAACTAATCTTGTCAAGAAAATCCTAAGGAAGAGAATCTACATTTACAATATTTATTGAAAAAATTTCCCATATAAGTGGACCCACGCAGTTCAAGCCGATGTTGTCCAAAGTTTAATTGTATTGTGAGCCAAAAGGACTTGAAAAATAGCTACTGCAGAGAGGCTTTCTCTGAACTCCATTCATTGCCTACACACAGATCTTCCCCATAAAACCTCAACTCATCATAAATCCCCTCCAGGGGAATTTTATCAGGTAGCTGAGACTGACTCTTACCACTGGAGAACAGAAGTTGACACCACTCCCTAACGTCGTCACAACAGCCATACCCCCCATCTATTCTCCTAAGGGCCCATTCGTCTTTCCTAAAAATTATGTACTCTCCCTTAAGTGGCCTACATCCCTTCTCTTGTTCCCTACTAAGATAGTAAGTAAGTTCTCAAATCTCACCACTTTGGGGGATATTTACTTTTTTCTATAGCATTCCCACACATGTAACATTAAAAATTAATAAATTTGGCCCTGACTGGTGTGGCTCAGTGGGTTGTGTATCATCCTGCAAGCTGAAAAGTCGCCAGTTCAATTCCTGGTCAGGTCACAATCCTGGGCTGCGGGCCAGGTACCTGGCTGGGGGCATCCATGAAGCCACCGATCCTTATTTCAGCTCCTTGGGTTGTTCTATACCCTGTCCCTTCCTCACCCTCACTCACGTGAAAACTGCCTTGCCTGAGAGATTAATGTGATACGGCCAACAACAGATGGATAGACTTCACAGTACAGTCACACAACTTGAACCAATTAGTTATAATTGTACACAGGTTAGTGTACAACCAAATCTTTTTAAAAAATTAATAAATTTGTACACCTTTTCTCCTGTTAATCTACCTATTGTCAGTTCATTTCATAAATCCAGCTATAGAGGATGGAGGGAAAGTCCTTCCTACCCCACAGTTTAAAATGTTTAATGAGGAACCCAAGATGTCTTCAATGGAGGTCTTTTACCAACTTTTTCAAACTCCTACAGAAACAGATGTAATGAGTCAATACATTTAGGAGAATCTATCCTTGAGGGTAAATTTTTAATCACTATTGTTTATCTTATTTTATCCATTAAATCCAGTCTTATAATGGATATCCCCAGATCATTAAACTGCAGATTTTAAGGTAGCCCTAAATGATCCTCTTAAATTTAGTGTAACTTAAACATTTTTAAATGTAGTGTACAAGTATATTCAACTAAGGCTCCATATAGCAAAGAACACAGAAAATACTGAGTGTCTATTTTCTCAATTCTTCTGAAGATGGCATGTATCGAGTACCACTCTAGTGCACAGGAGAAAAGTTAATTCATTCCATGCTAGACTAGACGCCTTGAGCTATCAAGGTTCCGTTCTCTAGTGCAGGGGTCCCCAACCTCCAGACCTTGGAGTACAGGTCTGGGTCTGTTAGGGACTAGAGCACACAGCAGGAGGTGAGTTTAAACATAATGCACTTGAATCACCCAAAACCATCCTCCCACCCTGGTCTGTGGAAAAACTGTCTTCCACAAAACCAGTCCCTGGTGCCAAAAAGGTTGGGGCCGCTGCTCTAGTGGAGACTAAGAAATTACCAGAACCTTACATCACTTAAATATTAATGACTAAAAGTAACAAATAGGAAGTGTTTATGTTTATGCAGGTGTGGTTGCAGGGCTGTAAAAAAGCAATGTTTCCAGGAAAACACTCTCAAAAAAGAACATTAACTTTTTTGTCTGGCAGCCTGTGCAGTTATGCACTGAAAACATTCCTAAGAGTCATTCAGAAAACAATGGACAAGGAATGGGGCCAGTCGTGTCTTGAAACTAGAAATTCTACTAAACATTTACCATCTTCATATTACTTAATAAAGCACATTTATTCTATTTTATTTCAAAGCTATAATTTCAAAATATTACAGTCACATATATGAGAATATAAGGTAATTTATAATTATACTTTACCTAAATATATCAATCCAAATCCTCCAGAACCAATCATCTTGCCTAGAACCCACTTATTTCCTTCCGAATCATCCAGAACCTTGCCTTCTGGAAGTGGAACAGGAAGTTTGTATTTCTTGTTTCTTCTTGGTGGCATTACTTCTGCTGGCAGAAGGGGTGAGTGAGGTCAGTGATTAAAAATAAAAACAGCTGTAACACAAAAATTTGTAGTTAAAATACACTTCTCGAAATGTCTTCTATGGGGAACTTTCCCAGGTTTCTAGAAATTAGGATTCTGGAGTCAACTGGGTTTGGGGAAGTCCTCATGTATTTAAACCAAAGATTCACATACATTATAATAGCACAATCTAAGAGGTATTGGTATTTTTAAAACAAGCCTGTTGAACTTAATTCAACATTCCAAAATTCATTTGGGGGTCTATAATACCTAGTAATAATTTAAAAATGGAGTTAATAATTTCCAATGACAGATAAATTGTGCATGCTCCTTTCACTGAGAATGCAGTGTCAGAAATGAGGTCTTGGGCCACTAGGAAAGAATACAGCTTTGGACCAAAAAAGTACAAAAGACGGCAATGTACATCATCACCAAACAGCAAATGACACACTGTTAAAGAAGCCTGAGACTTTCATGGATTTATAATTTAGCAGCCCACTAGGCCACTGGGCAGCCTCAGGCTAACATACTCCTCTTTCAGCTTCTTCCGATTTTTCTATATCCTGTCCCTTTGCCACCCTCACCAAAGTGGAAACTGCTCTGCCTGCGAGGTTAACGTGGCACAGCCAACAACAAAAGCACAGACCCACAGTACAGTCACATGACTTTAATCAATTCATTATAATTGTGCACAGGTCAGTGAATTTCACAATGAGCGATTTTTACACTGAAAGTGCAAATTTCTTAGGGGAGGAGGACGGCATAATTGCCTGAAACTAATCTGAAAGTGAAGGCAACTGCAATCCTGTATTTCCGAAGCATTTTGTAAAGTGTTGAGTGCTTTTGAACGAAAGTTAGCATAAAATTTTTGTTGTACCATCTCCCCATCTTCAGAATGAGAAAGTTTCTGTTCCTTTTAATAGGTTTTCTCTCCTTCACTTACTTTCATCCAATGCCTTCCTATCGTTTATCTAGCAGCAATGCCCCAGGTGGAGGAAAGGAGCCCGGCTGAAATCTTTAAGGACATCCACCTGCCCTTCTCCCAATGGGAACACAAGGGGGGCCGGGAAGTTAGATGGTGAACTAAGCCTCAAGTAGGAAAAAGTTTTGTCGTGGTGCCTCTTGACCAGTACTTTATATATACTGGTATCCAGTACATATTTGCTGACTTTAAACCTGAAGTCTCCAAAGAACAACTTTAAGAAGAGTAAAAATTTGGGGGCATCAGAACTTGAGACTTGAAATGAGACTGACTGTAAAATTCACATCCTGGCGTGGATCCCGGGTTCACTTTCCCAGAGAGAAGAGGCATCCTCCTCTCCTGGTCAGTCCCCGGGTATCCCTTATGCTTCTGGATTTCTTCCTGGGGCTGTGATGAAAAGGGTTCAACAAGAGCTTCCGGGACGGAAAACCGACACCCAAAGGTCTGAAAACCAACCAGAATTTGGAGTGAGGCCGGCAGATGAGCTCAGCGCGGCCCAGCACTGGCTTCGGCCCCCAGTCCGCAGCCCCGGGACTCCGGGCAGGCCTGCCCGACCCACCGCGAAGCCCTCCCGCGTCTGGAGACTTACTGCCCGGTTCAAGCTCTTGGTGGACCGGAGAAAGGGAACCGTACCCGCTTCCCCACCAGCGCTCTGGGCATATGCGAGTTGAAGGGGGTGTCGGGTCCTCGCTCGGAGTTTTGAAACAGCAAGGAACCAACCGCGGAACCCGGCCTGCACCCAGCTCCGACGGCTGCTCCTCGCGGCACTGGGACGCAGCACGGGTGGGGCCAGCAGAGAAATCTGAGACCCGCGCACTGCTTCCCGCCGACCTCCCGGTGCCCAGGCGGGGCCGCGGGCCTCCAATCCTGCGGGGAGGCGGGCCCTGCTCCGGGCCGGCCCGCGGAAGAGGCCAGACTAACTTCCCCGCACCGGGGCGTGTGGCGCCGGGCTCACCAGCGCCACCTCGCTTGGGTAGACTAGCCCCAGCTCGCCGAGTCGCGGTGAGGCCGGTGCCTTCCGTCCAGCGGCTGTCGTGCTGGGGGGCCGCGGAGGGGAAGAGGGAGCGGCGGTTCTAAATCGAGAATGAGAGCTGTATTATCGTCATTCACCCTCGCCCGCCAGAGTCTCAATATCAGCCATCAGATCAGTTCAGTGTGAATCAACCAGGACAAACATTTCTGTTGGTATAATTTTAGGTCCGGTGTACCACGATCTAAGTACTGAGAGCTTCCAACCGAATCGCCAAGCCCTTACTGGCCACTTCCCAAAAAATTAACAAACAAGCCAGGCCCGCCTGAGCAAGAAGGCTAGTGTGAGTAGGAGTGCCTATAACACAGCGGTTAAGTTTTAAAAGGCATGTTGGCTCAAGACCAATCATTTACTAGTTGAATAATCTGTCTTTACTTTTATTTTTTAAGTACAATTTACATTCAATATTATTTTGTGTTAGTTTCAGGTGTACAGCATAGTGTTTAGACAGTCATATTCCTCACAAAGTGTTCCCCCAGAAGTTTCTAGTACCCACCTGACCCTATAGTTATTACAATATTGGCTATATTCCCTATGCTGTACTTTACATCTTCTGACTGTTCTGTAACTACCAATTCATAGTTTCTAATCTCCTCACCTCTTTTCACCCAGCCACCAACACTCCACCCTCTGGCAACCATCAATCTGTGGGCTGTACCTGAGTCTGTTTCTATTTTGTTTGTTCATTGGTTTTGTTCTTTAGATTCCACATATAAATGAAATCATATGGCATATGTCTTTATCTATCTGATGTATTTCACTTAGCATAATACTCTTTGAATCCATCCATGCTGTCAAAAATGGTAAGATTTCATTCTTTTTGTTGCTGAGTAATATTCCATCATATAAATGAACCACCACTTTTTTTATCTACTCTATTGATAGGCACTTGGGTTGCTTCTATATACTGTCTACTGTAAATAATGCTCGACTTACAAGATGGATAATCTTTCTTAAATGTAATTACTTGACAAAACTGCAATTTTATTGTCTGCAAAATGGAAATAACCCTAGTTATTAGGGTTATTAACAAAAAAGGTTTGTTAACAAAAATATATTCTGACACTTGTTAAAATGGTAAGGAAGGTTTTGTTCAAAATTATTGAAATAGGAAAAAGAGCTATGCTCAGTTCCAAATACAACAACAGGAAGTAGAAATGTATAGCTGAGAAGCAGGGTGAGAGTCAGTGGACCACAGGAGCTGGAGTAAAGGGAGGATTCTGGTGAAACTGAGCTCACAGGATTTCATGGGAAGCCAGGGTAATCAGACTTCACTAGGGGGATTGTGGAGGATGGGGACCTCCATGAGAATTCAGGGGTGATCAGTTATGGAAGATGGGGGGTTCTGGCCAAACTGATTTAGCAAGATGCTTACTAAAATTGGACAAGAATAGAAAGAACATGAAAGCCCAAAAGTCAAGGCCTAGTTGACTTTTGGGCATAGAAGCCTGATTAGAGTTTGGTCAAGGAGAGAATCTGTAACAGGTTACAGTTATAAAGATGATTAGGATAATTTAAGGAATTTCTAAAGCATAGTGAGGACTCAGTGAGCTTATAATATTTTAGGGTAGACAAAAACAAATGCTCAGAAAGCAATTATTAAGCAATACCTCAATTTCCTATGTAGGAAGTCATTAAGTGCTTGGGATACAAATACTAAAGGGAAAATACAAGTCCTTTAATGACTGATGGAACAGGTTTTAGGACTACCCACGTCTCTCAGGTTGTCACCAAATGAATGATTGCATGAGGAAACATTTTTTTAAACAGCACTTGGTGCTGTGGCTATAAAAATACTTTTAAAAGAAACTCAACCATCTATGTGTAGAATAATTGTGCCCTTTAAGGTAGTCATTCACAGTCCAACAATGTCCATTCTTATTTCTATAAGATATATATATATAACAAATACTGTTGGTAGCCTGTCCACACATCCGTGTGGGTATTCTTTCTTCCATCCCCAATTTGTTTAGGTTTCTGTCCATTTATCCAGGTTACTTTCTTTAGGAAGATGCAGCTCCAGCACCAGGCACAACAGATTACTCTTGAGGGAACACACATGGTTCCTCTCTTTCACCTGTATACCCAGTATGTTAGTGTCATAGTCCTTTCGGGTTGCAATAACACAGTACCATAGACTAGGTGGTTTATAAACAACAACAAAAAAATATTTCTCACATTTCTGTAGGCTGGGAAGTTCACTTCCCAAGAACACCAGTTCCAAATGCCATCACACCGGGGATTGGGTTTCAACATAGAATTTTAGGACATAGACATTCAGTTAGTAAGTCCTATTAGGTTAACTTTGAAAATATACTCAGAATCCCTCACTTCTTACCACCCCAACTGCTATTATTCTGGTCCAAACCATTATTTCTTTCCTGGATAATTGTAGTACCTTCCTAAATGCTATCCTATTTCCTACCCATCTATCCATTTAGTTTTGGGGGGTTTTTCCCCACAACAAATAGCCACGTGATAGCTTTAAAAACTTAAATTAATAATTTCTCTTCTCAAAACACTTCAGTGTCATTCTAGTTCACTCAGTATTAGCCACTCCTCACTATGACCTACAATAGCATTTTTCAAACTTGGTACTATTGATATTTGGGCCACTTAATTCTTTGTTGATAAAGGAAAGATGTTCAAAAGTTGAATTCTTCTCAGGATTGTGGGTTTCTTAACAGCATCAAGAGTGTCTCTAGCACCCCCTCTTCCCCTGCAAGTTATGACAACCAAAAATGTCCTCAGATATTACCAAAATTTGTAAATTTTGCCAAAATGTTTACTGGTTGAGAATGGCTTGCCTACAATGATCTACATGTTCTGCACATTCACCCTCCCCCAAGCCGTATCCTATTTCTCTCTCCAGCCACATGCCCTCTTGCTCTTCTTGGGACCTTTACAATTTCCCTTCTGCATGAACCATCCTTCAATCTGGGGACTGAATGCCTGCTCTATCACTTTCTTCAGATCTTTATTCAAAAGTCAACTCAGTGAGACCTTCCTAAACACCTTAGGTCTCCTCCCAGGGATGTGTATTTTCCCTGGATTTGATTTGACTCAGGGTTAAGTGGCCTCTTATAGCAGAACATTCAACAAAAAAGGTTAGAAAACACACACACACACACACACACATATATTCAGCCTTTAACTCATACCCCTCATAATAATTATTTTGAAATTGATATAGAAGTAAATCTAAATATAAGGGCTAATTTTTTTTTTTAATTTTTGGAAGAAAATCTAGAAGAAAGTCCTTATGATCTTGGACTTGGCAAATCTTTCTGATCTTTGAGTTTGTGTAATTAGAGTGTACCAAAAAAGTGGCTGAAAGTCTAAAAGAAGAAACTGATAAATTAACTTCATTAAAATGAAAAAGGTATTGTTCTTCAAAAAGCACTGTTAAAATATCAAGTTTTGATAAGTGTGTGGAGTAACTGGAACTCTCTTACACTGTTGGTGGAGATCAAAAATGGTACAGCCACTTTGGAAAACGGTTTATCAATTTCATACAATGTCAATCATATGAATAACATATGACCCAGCAATCATGTTCCTAAATATTTACCCAAGAGAAATGTAGAACTATGTATACATGAAGACTTGTTGGAGGAGTAGGTAGACATACTGTGCCTTCTCGCACAACCAAAAGAAGGACAACAACAAATTTAAAAACAAAAGCACAACCAGAACTGACAGAAAATGAAACTGTATGGAAGTCTGACAACCAAGGAGTTAAAGAAGAGATATTCATCCAGACTGGTAGAAGGGACAGAGATAGACAGCTGGGCAGAGAGCACTCACAGCAAGGCAGCCACTGATGGACCAGGCAAGGTGGCTGGTGGAGCAGGCGATCCCACATTTGCATGTGGATGAAGTGGGAGGAACAACTGGGGAACCAGACAGACTGCACAACCCAGGTTCCAGAATGGGGAAATAAAGCCTCAAAGCCCCTGACTAAAAACACCAGTGGGGGTTGAGGCAGCAGCAGGAGAAACTCCCAGCCACACAAGAGAGTTCATGGGAGAGACCCACAGGGTCCTAGAATGTATACAAAACCACCCACCCAGGAATCAGCAACAGAAGGGCCCAATTTGCTTGTGGGTAGCAGGGGGAATGACTGACAATTGGCAGAGAGCTGAACAAGCAGCATTGTTCCCTTTTGGACCTGGGTTGCCCCGCCCTGGTGAACACCTCAGGCTCCACCCCTTAATACAGGCACACAGAGACAAAAATAAAAAATGGTCCAAATGAAACAACAGATCAAAGCTCCAGAAAAAAGTACAGCTAAGTGACAAAGAGACAGTCAACCTATCAAATGCACAGTTCAAAACACTGGTAGCAAGATGCTTACAGAATTGGTTGAATATGGTCATAAAATGAAAGTGAAGGCTATGAAAAGTGAAATAAAGGAAAATGTACAGGGAATTGACAGAGATGGGAAGGAAACCAGGACTCAGATCAATAGTTTGGACCAGAAGGAAGAAATAAACATTTAGCCAGAACAGAATGAAGAAACAAGAATTCAAAAAAATGAGGAAAGGCTCAGGAACCCCCAGGACAACTTTAAATGTTCCAACATCCAAATCATAGGGGTGCCAGAAGGAGAAAAGGAAGAGCAAGAAATTGATAACTTATATGAAAACATAATAAAGGAGAACTTCCCCAATCTGGGAAAGGAAATAGACTTCTAGGAAGTCTGAGAAGCCCGGAGAGTCCCAAAGAAATTGGACCCAAGGAGGAACACACCAAGGCTCATCATAATTAAGTTGCCCAAGATTAAAGATGAAGAGTGAATCTTAAAAGCAGCAAGAGGAAAGGTAACTGTCTCCTTTCCTCTTATGGGC